TTTTCCTTCTGCTGATCACAGACTGCTGCACTCAGTGCGCACGGACAGGAGAGACATCCTGGTGCAGGAGCGGGCAACGGCAACCTCCGGCACATGACACCAAATCCTTGCTGCACTAGCTCACCTGGTAAGCTTTGTCACAGATGTCACAGCTAAAGGGCTTTCCTCCGACGTGGGTCACCATGTGGCGCTCCAGGAGCGACGGGGCGCTGAAGACTTTAGAGCAGGTAGGGCAGGGGTGGTACTCCCGGGAGTGGGCTTCGTGGACATGCTTGCGGTGCTCCTGCAGGGTGGCAAAGCTCATCCGGCACTTCTTGCAGTCATAGGGATCTTCGATGTCTGCCACCCAGAAACACAACAAGAACCACAGGGGACAAAGAAATCAAGGAAAAAAGAAAAGAATTAAGAGGAGAATTCACAGAGGGAGGAAAGAAAAGGGAAATAAAAGCTTGTTACTTCCCAGATGGAAACTAGCACTGGAGTTTTGGCTTTGCATACAGATGTTGCTGTTTCTGCTCACCTACAGCTTCTTGTGGTAGGTTCCCAGCAGCTGGCAGAAGCCAGCCCTGCCATTTTCTTTGGGATAACCCTACCCACAGCATCAAATCACGACAGAGTCTTGCTTTTCTTGGGAGAGAAAAACCCCACCATGAGACACCGAGCCAGCTTGCAGGCACCAGTAACACCTGCACAAGCCTCTGCTGGCACGGATGGGTCTGCCATGACCCCGCAGAAGCCACGTCTTGCAGGCTGGACTGCCCAAGCCAGGGAGGCAATTGGCCACACTCACTGTGGAAGGTCCGGAGGTGGATGGAGAGCCCGTTGGCCTGGCGAAAGCCTTTCCCACACTCCCGGCAGACATATGGCTTGTCCCCCGTGTGAGTCCGGACGTGGCGCGACAGCTCGATGGACTGGGCAAACACGGCATCACAGTACTGGCAGGCGTACATCTTCCCTGCAGTGACACCCAGGGTAAGAGCCTGCACCTAACGGGACAGGAACTCTGTCTGGACTATGCCTAATTTCAAAGGGAGAGGGAAGAGATTGTAAAGTGGACAGCGTTCCTGGGGTAGCCAGAGCATCTCAGCGCAGGGTCAAAAAGGTCCTAGAGGTGCTGGAGAAAACCACACCTGCACAGGGAATATTAAATTACTGAAGACCTCAAGTATCTGGAGGTACTACATGCTGGCATGTCTCATGTTCAAAATTAACTGCCCAGCTGCAACATGCTCATGCCTTGGTAGTGGAAGGGGCTGGATGCAGGGGCAGGAGAAGCACTGGCATGAAAATCTGTGTGAAATTCAGCCAGAGGGAGGGATGGGAGAAAGCAGGTTAACCAGAGGGAGGAGGATGCATTGCAGGAGTCTAGATGTGAGGGGACAGAGTTACTCAGGAGAAAAACAAGGAAGGCAGAGGAAGAGGAAGATCCCCTTAATGGAGAGCAAACTACTAACTGGGTGGCTAATCGGAGGACCTGGAGAAGGGGATGGGGGAAAGGCAGAGTAGGGAACTGCAGGCAAAACCATGCCGGTGAAGGAGATCTGGGAGCAGCCTGCTGCCCAGGGCTCCCCCGAAGGGTGGGGAAGCAGCCAGGAGGCAGATGGAGGAACAGGGCAGGAAGGGGTGGATGGAGCAAGCCAAGCCCGTGGCCGGGCTCCCGCAGGGAAGGCTCACCCTCAGCGTGCTTCTTCTTGGTGTGGTAGGCGAGGGCCGAGGCCTGCATGAAGGTCATCAGGCAATGCTTGCACATGAAGGGCCGGTCCCCCGTGTGCAGCCGCAGGTGGTTCTTCAGCGTGGAGTTGGCCGCGAACTTGGCCCCGCACTCCTCACAGGAGAAGGGCTTCTCATCGAAGTGCTCTGTCAGCTTGTGGTACTGCATCCCTGGGGAGGCAGGCAGGACATCAGGGTGGCATTGGTGGGACCCAGTGCCAGCCCTGCCCAACCCTGCTGCAGAGGCACCACTCCACCAAGCCCAGAGGTCGACCAGCCCGCCTGCGACACCAGGGGTCCACCAGTGTCCTTCGGCCCCAAGGTCCACCAGGGTACCATGAGCTGCTACAGGGAAGGCAAAGAGACTCAACTCCTCTTACTCGTCCTGCTAAACCAGCTGCAGAACTGGAACAGCTTGATTATTTTTGGAAGATTTTAAATTTGCCAGTAGCCCCACTTTTCCTTGATGAGCCATGTGGAAAACCAATTAGGGAAGAACTAATCAGAAAGCGGTTGTGCTCAGTGGGGCAGGAGAAAGAGCTGAGCCGTGTTTTTCACACACAATGCTCACAGAGCTGCAGGGCGGCGGAGGAGGAGAAGATTTCAGACTATTGCTTTATTATATTGTCCAGACTTCTGTCCAAACACCCCTCCTCCCACCAACCCTACCTGAGGCATGAGCAAACTCTCGGCCACAGATGTCACACGCCACGGGGAGCCTCTTCCTCTTCTTCTTGGCCATGCCCACCACCCCGTGGACCTCCAGCTGATGCTTCTCCAGCTCCTTCTTTGTCGATTTGACCTCGCTGCACTCCTTACACTGGATTTGCTTTCCTCTGGCCACTCGACAACGTTTCATGTGCACCTTCAGGCGGCAGTAGAAGTGGAAGGTCTTGTCACAGGCTTTGCAGACAAAACTCTTCTTGGAAGAAGCTTTTTCTTGGGGTTCCTTCGGTTCATTGGCACCGGCACCTCCCGCCTTGTCCTCATCTTTGTCCAGAGCTTCAACTTGGGATTCACTGTTCACCTTCCACTTCCTGATCCCAGGTTTCTCTCCACTTCCCTCAGTCAAGAGACCTGTGGAAATAGCAATTCCTGTTTCGGTGGTGAACAGCGGGACTGGGCACCAGCCCCTCAGCCTCCGATCTCCTGAATACTCCTACACAGACAATTGTCCCTGCACAGCAAGAACAGACACACATCGGACACTCTGTCTCATCATAACAGTGGCACATGGCTCTGCCCAAAAGTGGCTGTGGCCATGCATGGTACAATGCATAAAAGAGTGGTCCTTGAGTTTCTCCACCCACACATACCAGGGGCTGGATTAGATGGCAAGAGCCAGGGCCAGGTTTTCCAAAGAGCTTCCTCCTCAAACAGGAACAACTGTTGCTTCCAAGCATCTGCCTCCTGCTCAGACACGTGAAGTTACAGCCGTGCTTAAATGTTTGAAGATCTGAGCCTCAGGTATGATAGTAAGTCTGCTATTGAGAGTTGATATCCAGCCATTAATTACAAGAAATCTCAGGAACACTTCCGAAACGCAAACTCTTTGAAAGGGAACAGATAATCTTGCTATGACCCTTTTGAGTCTTCTGGTTAGGGCCCTGAGGTATTTTAAATCACTCATTACATTCACTTCTTACAAAGTCTAATGCTTTTCTGAGTCCCTGTAACACCATCATCTCAAAAAGCACAAGATGGAAAATTCACCTAGGATCTCAATCTACAGAAAAGACCCACAGGGAATGCACGTATGGAAGAAATCAAAACACAAACAGATATATTTGGCTTCTTTGCTATAATGAAAACCACGCAACTGTGTGGCCATGGAAACCAGTGCAGACTTCTCCTTTTGCTAATGCACAGGAAATTCAGCCTGTGCTTGCAAAACTTCATTTCTGCCTTTCTCGCTATGGGAAGAGCTCAGCAAAGCATCCTCCCTGCACAGCACTACTGCCCTGGATTTCCAACCAGCTAGAAACCAGATGACATATTCCAACAGACTTGGAAATCCTAAGATGTCAGGTGGTAACCCTCTGACCTGTGAACACATCAAGGGAGAAAAACGGACTGGAAGACTCGTTTCCAGTTTGTCCTGCTCTGTCAAGAAAGCAATACACACCTTTCACCTTTAAGGTCTCTTCCCACATCCCTACAATCAACATTGTCAGTTTTTCTGATCCAAGTGAAGAAGTACCTTTAAACCTCCCAGAAATGTTGAATGTCAAAAAGAGTCATCTTGCTGGGCAGGATGAATGTGGATGAAGATACGAGCACTAAGGAAACCAGGACTGGAAATGTCTAGAAGAAGTGCCATGGCAGCAGGGGTGTAACTTGAGTCAGATGAAGCGAAGAGGAGTTTTGCCATGGACCCCAGTGTGCCAAGAGCTGGCTCATGGTCCTCCTGCTCTTATGCCTGTGAAAATGTTGTTCAAGATTACAGACAACAGCACAAGACTGTAATGGTATAAAGGCAGAGGGAGCTCTCAACTCCAGTCCACCTTCATGGGGAAAGGCATAAAGGGGCTCCAGAAAAAAGCTCTCCATCTTCAGGGGGATGCTACTACTCCCGGAGAACAGTTTTGAAAGAAAGGTGAAGCAGATCACGTGAAATCAATGGCTAGGTACCTGCACCCTGTAGTCCCATGCCAGTGTAATATATACATCCTGGATGGCAGGAGGAACCTTGCCTGATGGTGGAATACACCCTCAAAAGGCTTTCAAAGTCTGGCTACCATGAGACAGGAGAATGGGAGACATGCTAAACTGCATGATGCAAAGCTGATGTGACACTAAGGTCAGGTGTCAGGTTGCTGAACGTGCAGGTTTCTTTAACGGCATCAAGTACCAGGGGCTGGCTGCTGCCTGAACAGAAGAGGGGACATGTGGCAATGCCACATCAGGGCAGCAATTCCTTTCCACTTGGCAGCCAGGATGTCTCCCAGAACCCCTCCTATGGGTGAAGACAACATTCCATACCTCGTTAGAGCAGTGTCGAGCAACAGACATTACCCAGTCAGCTTCCATCCTTGGAGATTCAGGAAGCTGGGAGGTGAGCCCGAGTGCTCTCGTGAGAAATAAGACCAGACTGAAGAAATGATTGCACATCAAGTTTGAGGGGCAGGAACTCAGCATGCTTGGCCATGCCCCTGGCTGAGCCTCCTGGGAGCAGACAGAGTCCGAGGGTAAACGTACACCAGAAAGGTCCCAGACATAAATTCCCGACTGCGGGGTCCTCTGGGACTCTGGACTTTGCATCACTTTCCATTCTCTGGTGGCAAAGACATTCAGCACTGGAAGAAAAACGCTGCTGTTAATTATGGCGTATTTCATACTGAGTTCTCTTTTGCAAGTGGTCTGCTGAGTCTGTAATCCTGGTGGCTGCTCTACCCTCCCTGCAATTCATGATAGTTATTAGACTCCAGAAGTAGAAAATCTCTTGGTGTGTGAACATCCCGTCTCCCACTTCTTCAGCTTAAGCTGGAAGAAAATTTCACCTACCCCTTTGCATCTTGAAGGTCATTCCGATGGCTGCTGACACACATGGTGGCTTCTAACGCAGAATCTCTATAGGGGAGAACAGCATTTTGCTCGCAGACCCTGCAGTTTAACAATTCCAGGGGCTGACTCAGGCCTAAGTTAGATGCTAACTGTCTTTTTTTAAACACAAGACTATTCAGAGGAAAACCCTTTTTGCTGGAGTTCTTGACACATTTCTGAGATCTGAAAGCGAGGCATATCTTGACAAACATGATCTCCCAAGAAGTGACTGTACAGAGACCTGGAAAGCAGCTGGCTAGAGAGAAGGTTATGGAGTTGGCTGGAAGAGGCAAACCTTGTCCTTGCAAGCGCCAGCTGCCAACAGTGAAAGTGCTCTGACTACAGAAGGGACCCAAGGAGAAGCCACAGATTTCGTATTGTACCTCCACCAAAGAAACCAACCCAATACTTTGATGATGCTGAGTGTGGCTGGGGATGGATGCAGACAGTTTCCTCCACAGGGATGCCTGGTGCCTTCCAAGTGCTTCAGCTCACCTAAATTAAGTATCAGAGTTCTGCTGGGGTTTTTTTTTGCGGTATTGATGTAAAAACTGTTGCTTTCAAATGGAAATGCAAACTGTACACATCTCCATGCGGCACGTACGTTCTTCAGAAATGTAAGATCTCCTCTGTTTCAAGTGGAAGCTCACATCCCTCAAACATGAGGCCCACAGTTATCGTTCATATCTCATGCCAAGAGCCACATGGCTATTAATCCATAAAGCCACCTGCAACATTTAGGGGTGGTAAGCAGTGATATCAGAGCTGACGAGACTGGCCTAGAAATTAAGATACAGAAGTTCCATGTAAAGATCCATAGGATGGCAAAAAGGGGCTGGTAACTGGCAATCCTCCTCTGGACACTTCCTACAGAATACATGGTTTTGCCAAGTAAATACCATTTTTCCAGGGCTCTTGTTTTTGATGTTGCTTCTTGCTTGATTTCATCTCAACCCTGACTTGAAGCCCTGCAAAGGCACTTAGTAACAGCAGTCTGCTCTCTTTGATATTGGTGCCAGAGAAGCAGGCAGCTGCCAGAGCCATCTAGCTGACTCCCAAAGTCCCTCGCTGGTAAGCACTGCAAGGTGTCCAGGAGCTAAGGTGGGCTGCACGTTCACAAGCATGTGCAATTTTTGTTGGCTTACCTCCTTCTAGAGTCACCAGGGCATCAGCCCTGGCACATCCCACAGTCAGACAGGGTCAAGGGGAGTGGGGCAAGTGCCTGCAGCATCAGAAGGAGACAGAGAAGGAATGGCAGATAAGAAGGAATTGCCTTTTCTCTGGAAATCCTCATCAGAGCCATGACCGGGTGAAAAAGCCAACTGGATTGGTGGCAGCTCTTGTCAGAGTTAGAAGAGAGGACCTAGATCTGAACTGGGCATGAATAGTGGATCTACAGTCTAGTACATCTCTCAGGGAGACCACTAAGGCCACTGAGTCAAGAAAGAGGAGCAGAGCATGTGCTATCATCCTCTGAGCCCTACGGCTACAGCAGTAATCCAGGTCCTCGGTTTCTTCTACACACACATTGCCCCTGTCACCCAGTCCCATCTACCACCCCAACAACATTTCCCCGTTGCTCAAGAACACAGGCAAGCTAACAAACCTAGGGTGCACAGAGTGACCTAGGAGCAGGTCACTCTCTGCCCCTTCCCAGCACACGGGGAACATTGGCTTCGTCTCTCACTGTCAAACACAAAATGATGGCGAGTGTCAAAGCCACAAGGCTTGTGTTCATTCATAAAGACTGATCATGGCCCTGACCCAAATTTTCAGACAAAGCAATTTCTGTCTTCTGCCCCTAAAAAAAGATGAGACATTAATAACAAGCTGCTTACTCTAACTACCTAGCAATCTGCTGGTATTTCCACACTGTGCTGGAAGCTAAGTAGCTCTGGCACCATGAGTAAATAGGGATGGATTGAGCTGAATGAGCACCTGTGGTTGGATAAAAATCACGCTGTGTACATCCCAGTGGACTCTGCAGCCCAAAGAATCTGAATGTGCTGGGAAACACGATGCCATAAAAATGTATGTGAGCAAACAGAATAAGCAAGTCACATTTGCATCCCTTTCAAGAGAATGCAAAGCTGCAGTTAGCTCCTGGCCCTCTGTTATCTTTTTCATTAAAGCACCAAATTCTGTTAGGCATTCTTCCTTCAAATGACGGATGCAGAGATATAACTTGGCTCAGCTGGAAAGCATCCCACAGCTCAGGGCAGGGTCTGACACATGGTTATTGCTATGCATTTGTCTCTGGAACTCACCAAACTGCTATCTGCGTATGTTTCATTCATACCTTTGCCAAACTAGTGCAGTATGTAACATTCCCCTACTGCTGTGGGACCCTCCCAGGGGATCATTTGCTCTGTGAAGTGTATACATAGCAAGACCAAATTAAGGCAGTCTAAGAAAATTAACTCAGAAAATAGTCTGGGACTACAGACTGCACCATCACAGTCATCTTTGCACAAGGCAAGTGTGCTCTGATGTGACCTTTCTGCAGTCAGCCTGTGAAGCATCCACACATACACATATAGTGTCAAGGGATTGTAATACAAGTCCAAATTCATACAGATCCAACAGTACAGGAAGAGCCAAAGAAACCCCACAGCTTAAGGACAACAATTCTGAAAAATAAGCCAATATAGATACAAATTACATAACTAAGTTGCTTAAATGCCTCCAGAGCAAGGGCTGGGGTGGAGAAATGCAAACGCAGTTAAGGAATACCAGTATGGGGTCAGTTGGGGTCTCCACAACCCTCATAATGTACAAAACTTTAATATGGTGCATTTTACCAGCAGGAGAAACGCACACTCCAGCGCTTGGATCCAGAGGTCACCCCTGCAAACCCTCCTGCAAGTACAACCCCAACATCAGGCCAGGGGTAGTTCTGTGAAATGACCTCAGGCCGCCAGCACACTGAGGTCCACTACCAAACTGCCCAAGACTCCCATAACCGCGTGTAAAAGATGACAGAAGGATGAAAGCCTGTGCTTTTCTTACCTACATGCCCCAGCTCCTGCATCACTGGCTGCAGGTCTGGGAAGGACTCATGGACATCGCACAGCAGCTGACAGATCTTGATGGCCAGGACAGACTTCTCCTGGGCTGTGCTCAGAGCTGCTTTCAAGGAGGCCTCTGAACTTTCCTTCTGAGCAGAAATACTCACTAGCTGGAGAAGTAAGAAGAAGAAAACATCACATGACCGAGATTTTGGGCTGTGAAAGGTCGGGATGGTCTGGGAGCGAGGGCACATCCTCTTTGTTTCATCTCTACTGCTGGGAACCAGCTTTGAGAAACCAGAAAGGAAATCCCTTTCCATACAGGTCTTTGCCCCTCCACTGACGTATGTGCATGAGCTGAGGGAATTTCAGGATTAAAAAAAAGTTACAACAAATTAAATTCTCAGACTTTCTGTTTTGGTATTAGCTCACTTAAAACCACCTTT